GTGCTTATGCGATTATCTGAAGCACTTAATATAAAGCATCATCATTTTTTAGGTAGCTTGGTTCTTGCACCTTTCCTGCAGCAGATCACAGCTTTCGATTTCATTTATAGCAAGAAATTAGTGTAGTATTAAGTAAATATTGATGCTGATCATTCGACTGATATGCTGCCTCAGAAGCCTGTCCGAAATCAGTTTAATGATGTACCATTGTGCTCAAACCCTGGCTGTGAAGTCGTTGCCCGTTTTGGGCAGAGAAGAAACAAGTCAGCTGCTATAATGAGACTGGCAGAATTCCACAATGATGCTTCAGTCATAAAGTATACGATAAAATGTAAGTAGCTAAATTACTAAACATTTAATATTTGACAGCTGTTTAACTATAGAAATGTTAAATGACCGACATCAATCAGGGATTGGGAACTAATAAACTTTGTCTAATTTTTCTATTTTGAACTGAAACAAACGGAAGTCGTGGCTTAATAGTTAGAGAGTCGGACTCGTAACCCAAAGGTTGCGGGTTCGAGTCTCGTACCGGCAGGGATTGTAGGTGGGGGGAGTGAATGTACAGCGCTCTCTCCCACCTTCAATACCATGACTGAGGTGCCCTTGAGCAAGGCACCGAACCCCCAACCGCTCCCCGGGCGCCGCAGCATAAATGGCTGCCCACTGTTTCGGGTGCGTGTTCACAGTGTGTGTGTGTTCACTGCTGTGTGTGTGCACTTTGGATGGGTTAAATGTAGAGCACTAATTCCAAGTATGGGTCACCATACTTGGCCACATGTCACGTCACTTTTTTTAACATTACATTTCTTGCATATTAACAGGCCACATCAATTTAGTAACAACTAATTTCACTAAAATATAATGCTCAATAAAAAAAATATATTAGTAGAACTCAAAATGAAAACATTACTGCCATTTAATTTCTCTTGTCATGTGTTCTCTGATGCCGTTTTAGTTGATCGCTCCTCATGAGTGCATGAGGCCTCTCCTCAGAGTGCATCTTCTCATGTCGTCTTAGTGTCTCTTTCCGTGCAAACTTCTTCCCACAATGGGAGCAAACATGATCCATCTGTCCTGAATGCTGTAGTTGGTGAGTAACCAGTTTCCCGTCTGTATTAAAGCTCTCCCCACACTCAAAGCACACATACGGCTTCTCATCTGTGTGTGCA